TGATCTGTTTCAAGCACAAAGGGTTTACCGTATAGGTAGTATTTAAATCTACTTATACCCCATAACTAAAGCTTTAACATTTTTTCTCCACAGTGGAATATCTTTCTCCTGGCAGAAGCTTTTTTAACTGGCGAAAGATACTGGGAAAGGTGTCTCCTCATAATATTAAAGTAGTACAGCCCGAGTCCAAATGGGAGGCATCTGTTCGAGACAGAAATTTTATTAATATCTGGTAATTTTAGGACAGGGGGGTTTGAAAATATACTCTTAATTTCTTCGAAGCTTTGGTTGGCTTCCTCTGAACAACTAAGAGGTTCCTTGACACCCTTTTTCAAATAGTCTGTAAGAACTGAATTTAAAGCTACTTAGTTTTGGGTACGAAATTTCTATAGAAGTTTACAGACCCAAAGGAAACTTCTTAAAACTTTTTGGTAGCAGGGAACGTACTTTCTAAAACAGCTTTGGTCTTATTAGGAAGTGGTGAAAAGTTGTTATCAGAGATAATGAACCCAAGGTATTGTACCTTATGATAGCCAAGAAAGCACTTTTGTGGTTTAACTGTAAGTCCATGAGTTCTTTAGTCTTTTCAAAACAAGCGATAGTGTAATTAGATGGTCTTCCCGGGCATTTGTCATGATATAAATATTATCAAAATACACTGATACATTTTTTAAAGATCAGAAAGAACTATTCTCATAACCCTAATATACGTGGCACATCGGAAACCCAAAGCCGAAAGGCATTGTGCGGTATTGCTTTAGACCTCTATGAGTAGGGAAAGCAGTGTATTGTTTAGAGTCTGGGTGTAATGCACTTGATGGTATGCTTGTGAGATGTCTAATTCCAAAGAAGAATTTGCCAGTCATGGAATTTATACAAGTCATGATCAATTACTGCATGGGTTCTGCACCCCATTTAGTTATAGTATTCAAATAACGAAAATCTTGGGGCCAGTCGGTAAGAATTATGGGGTTTCTTAACCATAAAACTGGTGAACAGAAAGCTGTTTTTCGAAGGTTCTATGATGTTTAAGTTAAATAATTGTCAACCTCATTATAAAAAGTTTTCCGTAATGAACGGGAACGGGTAGATTTTCCGCCTTACTGGTTCATGATCCGACAATTCAATCTTGTGTACAATTAGGGGTTTGTAAGTCCTGGTCCCTTTCTGTGAATACGTCAAAAATGTGTTTACTAGGCACTTACTTGAGACTTTTGCCTATTCGACAAGTCGTTGTTAATGTTGACATTTGACTTCTTTGGTGAGGGATCATGCGTTAAGATGTCCAGTAGCTCCTTCGATTCTGTAAAAGATCTTTTATCTATAATACCAAACTCTACATTCGTACGAATCACCACTTGTATCCAAGCCGAAAGAAGAATATCTTCGTCAAAGGAATTTACGCAAAGATTAACTTCTCTTCGATGGTACCGTTTCAAAATATTGACGTGTACATTCTTTCTCTACCCTTGACACCCAAGATAAAATCTACCTTATTGCAGACCTTCACTACTTTATACGGTTCCGCGCCATGTAATTAGCAATTTGTTGGATTTGTCAGGTAGGAGAACTAAAACTTCATCACCAACATTAAACGTACGCTTGGAGCTTTTATGATCAAAAAAGGGCTTGTATGTTTTCCCTAGAAATCTCTAGTTTTTACTGACCAAATCGGCGGTTTTTTTCCAACCTTTCCCTTAGATCTAAAAGAAACTGATAGCTGTTCTGAACCTCAGGTTTGATACTTTGGACCAAAATTCATTCAAAATAGTTTTGGACCACGACTTGTTCCCATTTAAAACAATTCAAAAGGGGAATAACCAAGGAATCACTTGGAATCTCGCGCATTGCGAAAAAAAGCACATGGTAAAAAATCTTTTGCCAGTCCCCTTGGTTAAGAATACATAGTTTTTTTAGTATTGACTTTAGGATGGCATGTTGTCGTTCCACTCTCCGTTACACATCGGATGGTAAGGTGTAGTTTAAAAGAGGTTTAACACCCACAAGTTGATAAACGTGTTCCATTAATTCTTAAGTGATTGAGCCCCTTTATCCGACAGAATTTCACGAGGTATACCTACACGTGAAAAAATAGAAAATAAGGCTTCTGCGACTTCTATGGACGTAATGGATTTTAAGGGTACCGCCTCTGGGAAGCTGGACGCGTAGTCAATCATAGTTAAAATATATTTTGACCTCCTGATGAGCGAGGGGGTGATAGGACCAACTATATCTACTGCAACCCTTGCAAAAGGGACTGAGAAAATTGGCATCTTTACCATAGGAACTCTCCTAGTTCTACCTTCTGCGTGGGAAAATTGACATACGTGACATGATCTGCAGTACTTATAGATGTCAGAGGACATGCTAGGCCAGAAATATAGTCCTTGATTTTATTATAGGTCTTCCTATGTGAAAAATGCCAGAGACTGCAAGTCATGAGAAATCTTTAAAATGGTTTCACGGCAATCCTGCGGAATGACTAAAGGCTTCGACCAACGTCATTGGGTTTGTCCGCAGACACTATATCTTGTACAAAAGATCATGTTTGAACTCAAAATTGTAAGAAAATTTCTTTCTCTGGTCAACCTTGCCCTTTAAAGCTAACTTCCGAGATTCCCCTAAGGAAGGACAAGTCTTTTGAAGACCCTCCAAATCTATATGAGACAGCTCGATTGGCTTTCCTTGGAAAGAACTAATGGGTGGATAGGTTTTACCTTGACTGAGCTCTGGTAACGACGTTAATCGAAATCTAGTTGTTGGGATAGATTGTTGCCACACGTATTTCCCACTGGCGTCTGCGTTGTCCAGTTCAAGTGACTGACTTACTAAAGGTGTTACCGGAGTTTTGTAACCATCAGCTCTCTGATTTGGTTACCCAACTGAATCTCATCTGGAACTATCTGTGAAGAAACAGAGATATTAGGTTCCCAACCCTTCCTTGGAAACTCCAAATTCCAAACAGTCCTTCTCAGATGGGAAAGTAGCCCCTTGTATGTTCCCAACCAAAACAGAACATGAGGTTATCGGGGCAACTACAGCATCTACCCATCCTGAGAACCATTTGCACCTAACAAAACATCGACTGTTTTAAAAGAATCGCTTCTTTCCCAAATAGTCAGTTAAATTTTGTGGATTATAACGTGAAGAATCTAGGTTAGGGGAAAAGCTTACTCGAGATAACAATACAGGAACATCCTGTGTCTCTAAGAATGGTTGATACATTCATACCATTGACTGTACCTCCACTAAAAAGTGCGTTTTATGTTTGATTCAGTGAAACATTTACCGACATTTTTACCTTTTTTTTTCTAGGACAGTCGGACGTCTATGACCCCACTCATTACAGTTGAAACACTTTACTGTGAAGGCCGTGGAATTCTTAGGTACGGAGGGTTGGATCCCTCAGATTGCTTAGGCACAACAGGGTTATATCTGCTACGCTCTTTAGGGTAGTTATTTTGAGCGCACGCATATATATCAGCATTGTGCCTTTCTGCAGCCGTATGAACGTTTCGTTCTTTAATGAATATTCGTTAAGTCAGAGTTTACAGAAGAAAGGAATTGATCTCTTACCATCAGGGCTCGTAAAGATTCGAAATCGTGGTCAACCTCAGCACTATCAATCCACGAATCAAATAATCTGAAAAGTGTTGTTAAGAATTGCATGTAATTTTGATGAGGAGTTATTTTATTTTGTCTAAACTCCGACCTGAATGATGAGTAGTTTTTTTTAAGCCTGGAGTATAGGGTTTCTTCAGCAGGCTATAACTAGAAATAACATCAGAGGGTTTGAGTGAATAGACGTTTAGTGCTGAACCTGACAGTAGTAAGCCAACCTAGTAGCCCAAGAATCTACTGGCCAGTCACAGAGAGTAGCGTACTTTCGAATCTCGTAATTTTATGCCGCTATGTCATCTTGTTCTGAGAAAGGTGGTATTTGAGGCATCCTAATATTAGGTTCTTGGGGAAGGGTATTCTAGAACCCCTTCATCTATTTTCTGCTTAGATAGTTCTACCTTTTGGCTTCTAATTCCAACCTTGATTGTTCTAACTCAATTTCCTTCATTTTGAAGGCTACCTCTCTTGCCCTGAACTCTATCTTCTCTAGCTATCCTTTCCTGTTCGATTTTATCTTCCCGACTAGTCTTTCCTGTTCCTCTTTCTTTTCTTGAGCTAGTCTTTTTTTTCCCGACTAGTCTCTCCTGTTCCTTTTTCTCTTCTCGAGCTAGTCTTTCCTGTTCCTTTTTCCTCTCGAGCTAGTCTTTCCTGTTCTTTTTTCTCTTCAATAGCCATTTTAGCAGTAATGTAACTATCAAGGCTTTGTCCAGTAAATCCCATTTCCTTTCCAGCTTTTCAACCAAAATCTAAAGGGAAACCATCTTGTAAAAAGAAATATTAAGCACCCAACTTCAACTGACAATTAAAATTAACAGTAAGTCTGTTACAAAAGAGGGACACAGTCCGCACACTTTAAACTTCCCCAAAGTAGAAAATAAATAAATATTTCTCCCTGGAAGAATACCATTGTGGCTCAATAGCCTTCATAAGCAAAATACACACGGTTCACACAGGAGGGGTTATTATCAAAGTTCCCCAGGTCCAACAAATAGGTAAACTTCTAAACCGAACCTTAGAACCAAACAACGGTAAGTCAACCAGACTACCAGTAATGACTTGACACCTCAACTAACTCACCCTTTTCTATCTTAAATGTTATACTCACAACCAGTTGAACCATCAGGACGATGTTGCTTCAAGAGTCGGATCCTGGCAAGGTCGCCATTGTCAGTGGAACGCCTTCCAACTGAACAAAAGAAACTAATGGAAAAATAAATAAAGAAATGATTTAGGAAAAACAAGAAAAATGATTTGAGAATTTTACTTAAAATTTAAATATAATAAAAAAAATGGCCTTCAGTTCTTGTAGTTGGGTAGGAGTAGGTATGGCCCTAGATAGTTCCTCTGATGTTATTTATGTAGGTTATCCTGGGCAGATGGTAATCCGATGTTCTGGAATCTCCTACCACTTGGATGGAGCACAAGTAGTATAGGTAAGGGCCGGTAGTTGTAGAATAATGTTAATAAGTATTATTAACACGTCTTGCTCCTTTATCTGGCGTCTATCCTGGAAGACCACGCCAGGAACAGAGCTGGTAAATAAGAGAAAATAAACTGGTTACCCATAGTTATGATAATATAACATTTAAGAATTGAAAAGAATGATAAATGCCAAAATCATTACTGGTAACCAGCAAACAAAATAAAGAAACAAACAGTGATACTCCTGGTAGATCACCCTACCTGATTAGGAGAAGAGTGGAGGCGAAGTGACTCTCCTAACTTCAGTCCACACCAGGTAAGGTCAATATTACCAAGAGTAGAAACTTTAACAAATCGGACACCAGGAACTAGTTTTGCCCCAGCCCGCCAGAGAGGGGGGGGGTGAGTGCGCGCGCAACGTAACTCGCTAATGGTTCCTGGTTGCCCGAACAACCTTAACCCCACTTACACCTACTTTTCCCTCACATTGTGAAAGAAGCTCTTCATCGATCCCACCAAATGTCACGTGGGGTTTCGAACGTCGATCGGGTAATAAACAATCACGTAGGATGTTAAGTACGTATCAATACCACGGGCGGGGTTAGAACCCGCGATCAGAGAATCTCAAAACTTCAGACCGTCGCGTTAGCCACTGGACCAGCTAGCCACAATAAGATTCGTCCAACTAGGTATATTTCTACACCATAGGAAGGTTAGCACAGGCACCACTGTGGTGTAGAAATATACCTAGTTGGATGAATCTTATTGTGGCTAGCTGGTCCAGTGGCTAACGCATCGGTCTGGAGTTTTGAGACTCTCTGATCGCGGGTTCTATCCCCGCCCGTGGTATGGTTTGTTTGCAATCGTGTCATTACGATTTCGTGAGTCACGTTAAGTACGTATATTAGACGGAATATACGGGAATGCCTCGCCTGACCTGCCGTCTCTCTTGAACTGACTCACTAGTGCCTAGAGGGGTGAGTGGCATACAAATCACGCTAGGGCAGTTGTAACTGATTCCCGCAGACGGTTGGTATGAGTCATTACTACTGGCACTAATAACTAGTTACTGGTAACTGATACTACTGAGATAATAAAGATACCCAGAGAGGCCTAGTTTGAACAGACATTTCTAGGTTTGAACAGACAGGCCTAGGTTTGAACTGACACGCCTAGCTTTGAACAGACACGCCTAGCTTTGAACAGATAGGTCTAGGTTTGAACACGGGCCTAGGGTTAAACACGGGCCTAGGTTTGAACAGAAAGGCCTAGGTTTGAACAGACAGGCCTAGGTTTGAACAGACAGGCCTAGGTTTGAACAGACAGGCCTAGGTTTGAACAGAGAGGTCAAGGTTTGAACAGATAGGCCTAGGTTTCAACAGACAGGTCTAGGTTTGAACAGATAGGTCTAGGTTTGAACACGGGCCTAGGGTTAAACACGGGCCTAGGTTTGAACACAGGCCTAGGTTTGAACACAGGCCTAGGTTTGAACACAGGCCTAGGTTTGAACACAGGCCTAGGTTTGAACACGGGCCCTAGGTTTGAACACAGGTCTAGGTTTGAACACAGGCCTAGGTTTGAACACAGGCCTAGGTTTGAACACAGGCCTAGGTTTGAACACAGGCCTAGGTTTGAACACAGGCCTAGGTTTGAACACAGGCCTAGGTTTGAACACAGGCCTAGGTTTGAACACAGGCCTAGGTTTGAATACAGGCCTAGGTTTGAACACAGGCCTAGGTTTGAACAGACATATAAAGAACAAGTTTAAGGGAATCCAAAATATAATTACGTAGGAAAAGTGAAATAAACGGACTAAACGTGTAATTCGCTCATTCACGAATACGGGAACCAGGACTAAAGTGTGAGCTGACGGGAGAACGGAAAGGAACGACGAATGCGCACGAACGGCATCCGGTTAACAATCACTAACCAGCTAAATAAACCATCCAACATTAACAATCACAGCGGGAAAAAAAACTGAAATCAACGAGCATTAACTCTCAAAATATTTAACAATTGCAAACTCGAAACTACTCTGGCAACTACGAGCAAAAAGTAACGTGATTACCAACGAACCAACCAGCAACAGAGACAACAGAAGCGTGAGTCAACCAGCAACAGAGACAACAGAAGCGTGAGTCAACCAGCAACAGACACAACAGAAGCGTGAGTCAACCAGCAACAGACACAACAGAAGCGTGAGTCAACCAGCAACAGAGACAGAAGCGTGACTCAACCAGCAAGAAACAACAGAAGCGTGAGTCAACCAGCAACAGAGACAACAGAAGCGTGAATCAACCAGCAACAGAGACAACAGAAGCGTGAGTCAACCAGCAACAGAGACAACAGAATCGTGAGTCAACCAGCAACAGAGACAACACAAGCATGAGCCAATCAGCAACAGAAGTGTGGGTCATGCGGCAACAGAGACAACAGAAGCGTGAGTCAACTAGCAACAGAGACAACAGAAGCGTGAGTCAACCAGCAAGAGACAACAGAAGCGTGAGTCAACCAGCAACAGAGACAACAGAATCGTGAGTCAACCAGCAACAGACAACAGAAGCGTGAGTCAACTAGCAAGAGACAACAGAAGCGTGAGTCAACCAGCAACAGAGACAACAGAAGCGTGAATCAAACAGCAACAGAGACAACAGAAACGTGAGTCAACCAGCAACAGAAGCGTGAGTCAACCAGCAACAGAGACAACAGAAGCGTGAATCAACCAGCAAGAAACAACAGAAGCGTGAGTCAACCAGCAACAGAGACAACAGAAGCGTGAGTCAACCAGCAACAGAGACAACAGAAGCGTGAATCAACCAGCAACAGAGACAACAGAAGCGTGAATCAACCAGCAACAGAGACAACAGAAGCGTGAATCAACCAGCAACAGAGACAACAGAAGCGTGAATCAAACAGCAACAGAGACAACAGAAACGTGAGTCAATCAGCAACAGAAGTGTGGGTCATGCGGCAACAGAGACAACAGAAGCGTGAGTCAACCAGCAACAGACAACAGAAACATAAGTCAACCAGCAACAGACAACAGAAGCGTGAGTCAACCAGCAACAGAGACAACAGAAGCGTGAGTCAACCAGTAACAGACAACAGAAACATAAGTCAACCAGCAACAGACAACAGAAGCGTGAGTCAACCAGCAACAGAGACAACAGAAGCGTGAGTCAACCAGTAACAGACAACAGAAACATAAGTCAACCAGCAACAGACAACAGAAGCGTGAGTCAACCAGCAACAGAGGCAACAGAAGCGTGAGTCAACCAGCATCAGAGATAACAGAAGCGTGAGTCAACCAGTAACAGAGACAACAGAAGCGTGAGTCAACCAGCAACAGAGACAACAGAAGCGCGAGTCAACCAGCAACAGAGAGAACAGAAGCGCTAGTAAACCAGCAAGAGACAACAGAAGCGTGAGTCAACCAGCAACAGAGACAACAGAAGACCCAATCAATCAGAAAATGAAAAGTACGAGCGTCAAGGAACGATCAACAGAATTAGACAACAGGACGTCAAGCAACCATCAACAGACAGATCAATACAACAGGAGAGTAAACCAGCCACAAACATCAGAGAGAGAGAGAGAGAGAGAGAGAGAGAGAGAGAGAGAGAGAGAGAGAGAGAGAGAGAGAGAGAGAGAGAGAGAGAGAGAGAGAGAGAGACTTCAACTCACTATCGGTGGGAACAAAAGCCAACTAAGTTTCCCTGTCACATCCCATCACTCAGGATGGGACTCAGACAAGGTGTTGAAATCTGTCAACCTGAGCTGGGAGACTTCAGCAGAGCGATGAGGATACCGTCAGGTACACAAAGGTTTCTAGCAGAGCTGGAGTTACTATCACTTGGGATTTGCCATCCCTCAGGATATCCTATCCCATACACAGGAGATATGGAATTCTTATAAAGACATCTCCATCCTCCAAGAGCGAGGGGCGAGATAAATTATACACAAGGGGAAGAAGAGAGGGAAGGTGGGGAAGAGGTATATAAATATGGAAGGCATATCTAAAAAACCACGGAACGGGTGGGGGATTAAACCCATTACAGGTGAGTTCTCAAAATTCAGGACAGTGCGCTAACCACTCGGCCAGCTTGCATGGCGTTTAATGACGTGGGTTCAATCCTCACCCTTTCCGTGGTTTGTTTGCAATCGTATTATGATTTCGTGAGTTATATCTAACATATATACACATTAATGGATAAATATTTAGTCATTGTAAGCCTAAGAATATATAATGGCTAGTCTACATGACATTTACATATGTATATAAAGGAGTATTCACAGGTATATACATTTGCACACACACACACACAAGTACCTATATATAATGAGGATATCCTCAAGCATCTCAAGGTAAAGTATTTACACATCTCCAAGGACTCCATTCCACCAGGGTTAACGTCAGTCTCTTCACATCACCACCAGGGTTAACGTCACTGTCTCTTCACACCACCACCAGGGTTAACGTCACTGTCTCTTCACACCACCACCAGGGTTAACGTCACTGTCTCTTCACACCACCACCAGGGTTAACGTCACTGTCTCTTCACGCCACCACCAGGGTTAACGTCACTGTCTCTTCACACTACCACCAGGGTTAACGTCACTGTCTCTTCACACCACCACCAGGGTTAACGTCACTGTCACTTCACACCACCACCAGGGTTAACGTCACTGTCTCTTCACACCACCACCAGGGTTAACGTCACTGTCTCTTCACACCACCACCAGGGTTAACGTCACTGTTAACTGGACACTCAAACTATATAATAATAATAGCAGTTTTCCTCCTTCCTTTTTCACAGATATTACATGTAGAATCAGCAGGGATGTGAGGCATGCAACCATAGCTGGAAGATTGCAAGAATTTACCACAAGTGACGGTATCCCGACCTGATTCTGGCAGTCACTGTGTCAGACAATCTAGAGGACGTTTTATGTTGTCCATACACAACTTTCTGAGTGAAAAGATCGTAGTGTCTGATATTGGTGCTGACAGGTCTCTGGGCATGTGTGTCTTCTCGTTTACCAGGGTTTATAACTGAGGGTGAGAGAAGACTGCGGGCGGGGGCTGGGGCGGGGGCGGGGGCGGGGACCCACACCATAAGCCAGGGTCATAACTTCTTGTGTGGGTGTCACTGCTGGTCTCATGAGCTACACTAACAAGGTCCCCCACCAGCTGAAACCCATGTACACGATCCCCCACCAGCTGCGACCCATGCACAAGATCACCCACCAGCTGAGACCCATGTGCAAGATCTCCCACCAGCTGTGACCCACACTAACAAACCCCCACAAGCTGTGACCCACAATAACAAACTCCCACAAGCTATGACCCACACTAACAAACCCCCCACAAACTATGACCCACATTAACAACCCCCCCACAAGCTGTGACCCATGTATAACGTCCTAAAACTAACATTCAATGGGTCATGTTATCTAAGCGTGTGAGTCAACGACACAAGGTCA